TACTTCAATTCATTGATCCAAAGTTCCATAGCATTTTCTCTGATGAACAGATACACATGGTGATATGAAGCAACATATGCAGTTTGTAAAATGGAACATTGAGTTCCAGTCCTCAAAATCAGTTGTGATTTGACGAAATGGATTCAATGGTCCTAATTAAATATGGAGTACATTGTACTTGTACCTAGATCATCGAAACCAACACAAGCATTTATCTCAATTTCCAGAAATCCTTTTAGTTCAAAGAATGAATTTCCTAAGTGTGTAAAAGTAACCCAAATGAAAATCTGTTTACCTGTGGATGCCTTGTGATTCTCATTATCCCGGTTTCCCAAAGATGCATTTTGGGCTTGTCAACTGCCGCTACCTCTAGAAGATTAAAAGTGGAAGGGTAGAGGAGGAAGAAGGAGATAAAAGACGAAAGCCACACAAGTTGATGGACTCCAGGAATACTCTGGAGCTGCCATAATTGTTGCCCATCATATCTGTGGTTAATAAAATAAACCTGAATCACAAACATTTCAAAAGTCAACAAGTCACTTCAAATAAACTTCATTTGCACCCTAGAAGGAACAATAATCAAAATAAAAAAAAAATAGCCAATAAAAGCTCTTCTTTAGAGAGTACTCACAACTGTGCTAACAGCCAATGGTAGAGATACCCCAGCAAACAAAACACGGAAAGCTCGTTCCCCAATAAGTTTCTCACCCGTGTCTCTTAGACTGGCCAATCCACTGTGCACCAGGGCAAAAATTACAATGAGGATCAACATTACAACCTGCACATTTATGTTTCAATATCAGCCTTCTTAGCCAAAACCTTAATACGTAGGATCTAGGCTTCAACTAGTAGAAAGAGAATAAAACAAGGAAATTACGAATAATTGTATCCTTAAAGATTCTAGAAAACTTGAAGCCAAATGAAAGGCTAAAAGCAGAAAGTACTAGGCCCCTATTTCTCCCTATCCATCGCTGATTATTGCATGAAACCAGAAGGCATAGAAAGAGAAAAGACAGTACGCATGAGCAAGAAAATGTATGCACCAACTCTCAAATAATGCTCTTTTAGACAATTTTAGACTGCTTATATTCCAAAATCCAGCAACATCAAATTCGTCCGCTATCTCATGAAACAACTTTTACCCTTACACACACCAAAAAGTAGATACAGTAGGATACTTCTCAAGCAAAGCCCAAAAGATAAAGCGCTGCAGGGTAACCTAAGCTTGATTGGTTTCATGGCCGGTGTTCTATTTGAAACCCAAGAAACTTGTTCAGTCCATTATAGTGAGAGCAGTAAATATCAAGTGAGCAACTTGAATAATTTTCAGTCCTTACACCAACTGTAATGAACTGCACAATTTCAGATAACTAGTTTAAACTTGACAAGAAACATAAGATCCTTTCTTTCAGCCCTTCAATCAAAAATTATAAATTGAAGCAGTTCCTATAATCAGAACAACACTAGATATTGTGTGCGGATGCATCTTTAGACGTAACAAGTTAGTTTGGTTTTCTCTCTGTTTCTTGTTTTTTTCGGGGAAAAAAAAAA